AATAAAATAAAATAAATAATAAAATAAATAAGTTAAAATAAAAAATAAAATATTAAAATAAAAAATAATTAAGGTAAGATAAGGCAAGGCAAGGCAAGACCAGATAAGATACAGGACAGGACAGGACAGGACAGGACAGGACAGGACAGGATAGGATAATAAAACAAAAAATAAAATAAAATCTGGGCTCAGCTAAGAAGCCAACATTTGGGATGCTCTCCACTCCTTCCCACTTATTCCTTCCAGAAGGCCAGTTTAGGCCGGTGGTTTTCAAGCTCGGCCACTTAAAAACCCGTGGACTTCGTCTCCCAGAATTCCCCATTCCATGGGAAAGGCCCCACCCAAGGCACCTACTTGGCCTCCAGGGCGAGGGCAATCAGGCCTGCCGCCAGGGGGGCCGAGGCGGAGGTGCCCGTGTGGCTGCCGGTGCAGGCGTGTCGCAGGTCCGTGGTCACCTGGAGAGAGAATTGAACATCATCGAAGGAGCGACCTTAAGCCCTCCTCCTCTTTACAAAGCCTCATTCCACTTAAGCGCCTAGTCCTCAGGGCTCTAACTACATCTCTCCCCGCCTGGTCAGCTCCCATCCCGCTCTTCCTCCCACCGTCCCTCTTCCGACGGTGACTTTCCCAGGGCTGCCAAGAGAAAGGGCTGGAAGAGGGAGGAGAACAGGATTGCCCACCAGCGTTGTTGGCAGCTTTTATTCGAAAACCGATTGGTGGAAGGTCCAATTTCTAGGCCTGCCTCTCTGGGCAAATACGAGGGCAATTTTGGAAATAAACCCCCGTTCGGTTATCAATGACAAGACTGTCAATGCTGCTAATATCGGATGTTTTGCATTGACAACAGATGGAGATGTAGCCATCTTTTCCCCTTTCGCTTTTAGAGTTAGATGATGCTGGGGGGGATGTGAATGAGAGTCTAGCTAGCCATAACAATACTAAACTTAGAGTGAGAATCAAGGTTATTGAGCCCAGAGGTGATAAAGAATTGGGCTGGAGAACGCGCTTCCTGCTAATTGGGGAATGTGATTTATGACGGTTAATTGGAGGAGGGAATTGTGCTTTGATACTGTGTGCCCAGGGGAGGGGAATTCAGGTTTTGGCCTCGATTATCTAGTGCCGATATTATGGTACTCGAATAAAAGATTCTTTAAGGTAAACAATGCCTCCAAGTTCTTTTGAAGAGTTTCATCTGTCGGAACCATGATAAAGACACTCGCAGATACAGAACTTTTATTATATACATTAGAAAAGCATAACGTGCCATGACTTTTTGACACAATCGCCATTCCAATGGAGACCCTCGTCATCACGTCTCACAAGGATTGCAATTCCTTAATCGTCGTCGCTCGGCGCCAAATCTGGGCTATAAGGGGGAGTGTGTGATCAAAAACATCCCAGCGGAACCGCTTCTGAAGTTCTTGGGTCCGTCTAGCGGTGTGCGGGCGAGCATTGTCGTGCACCGTCACCACCACACCGGAAGTGGTGCCGTAGAAAATCCCACCAAATGCGGATGCCAAAGGAGCAACAACTGGTGAACTTCACGGAGCATGGGGTTCGACCATCAGTTCAGACGTCTGCTGTGAAACATTACGAAAACTCAGACAAGACACCCATGACAAGTGTCGGGACCTGACGACCTCCGGTGTGGTGGTGGTGGTTCACAACAATGCTCGCCCGCACACCACTAAACGCACCCAAGAAGTTCAGAAGCAGTTCTGCTGGGATGTTTTTGATCACACACACCCATAGCCCAGATTTGGCACTGAGCAAGGACGACTGAGGAATTTGTAAGACGTTGACGAGGGCCTCCACTGGAATGGCGATTATGTCGAAATCATGTTGTATTTGTCTAATGTGTATGATAAAAGTTTTGTATCTGGGAGTGTCTTGTCATTGATAACCAAATGGAGGTCTATTTCCGAATTGCCCTCGTGTTTACCTCCCTTGAATTTGGCTAGAAGTGGGCCAGGTCGCATCTGAGGCCGAAAGGCACGCTCAGACGGACTGAATACATGGGAATATATTCTAGATATATTCTATCTTTTCCAAATAATGAGCTTAAATTTGAGGGGTGGAATTTTCCCAGCCTCGGCTTCAATGTGCGTCAACCAAAGGGACTTTAAGGTGGGGTGGTCTTCAACTCCCAGAATGCCCCAGCCAGTTTGTACTCGTCCCTTTGGTTTTTTTCCTGGCTTGTGTCTTTCAGATACTCTTCGCCTTTCAGAGGGGAGGGGAGATGTGATCCCCTTGCCCACCTCCCACCCTGTTCGAGGGCCTCACAATCTGCTTCTCGCCCTTGGCCCCGCTGCTGTAGGTGGTGGTGAGGGTGGAGGCACAGGCCTCGTTGTACCAAGGCACCCGGCCACTCTCGGTGCTGCTGCCCACGGATAAGGTGTAGATGCTGTTGGTGTAGCCGTCGCAATTGCAGTTGTCCTTCCGAAGGCCGCCGTTCCCGGAGGCCCAGACGAAAAGAGAGCCCAGCCCTCCGCGTCCCTGCGGGGAGAAGGCGGAATGAGTTTCATTTAGTGACCATCCCAGATTCCACCGTTTTTCACACCGTTCATTGCCGTTGGAGCGTTCCCCACGACAGTGGCCGTGTCCCTGGGGTGATGCGATCCTCTTTTGCGACTTTCCGGCAAGCGAAGTCAACGGAGAACTTAACAATTGCAGCGATCCGCTTAGCAACGGTGGCAAGAAAGGTTCGTAAAATGGGGTAAAATTCACAACACATCTCCCACATAACAACAGAAATGTTGGGCTCCATCATGGTCGTATGTTGAGGACTGCCTGTAGAGGTAATCCGCTATTTACGACCGTTCGTTTAACAACCGCTTGAAGTCTGGACGGCTTTGAGAAAATTGACTTCGGAGTAGCCGCTGCCCTTAGGCCACGGGATCGAAATTCAGGCGCTGGACAACGGGCAGGTCTTCACAACGTCCCGGGGTCACGTGATCACCCTTTGTGACGTTCCCAGGGGGCTTCCAACTACCCAAGTCAACCCCAAAGGTGCTTTTTCAAGATGCAACCAGACTTTCTTGTGGTTTTTTTTTTGAAGGCGTTTCGCTTCTCATCCCAGAAGCTTCTTCAACTCTGACTGGATGGTGGGGAAGGGAAGGATTTATACTCCTTGCAGACAGCCGGTCATTTGCCTTCTTTGAGAGAGTCGTTGAGGCCACTTGGGGGTTTGTCTGTGTCCTCAGGGTCAGCTGAGTGGTGCAAATGGGTGTGGAGCCTTCTGGGAACTGTGTTGAAGGACAGTGTTTCAGCAGTTCCAAGGAGGCTCCACACCCCTTTGCACCACTCGGGTGACCCTGAGGACACAGACAAACCTCCAAGTGGCCTCAACGACCCTCTAAAAGCATGCAAATGACCAGATGTCTGCAAAGAGTATAAATCCTTCCCTTCCCCTCCATCCAGTCAGAGCTGAAGAAGCTTCTGGGATGAGAAGCGAAACGTCTTCAAAGGAAAAACAAGAAAGTCCAGTTGCCTCCTGAAAAAAAAAAGCACCTTTGGGGATGACCGTGACCCGGATGATGGTAGAACAGAACCATGAAACAAAGGATGCAGGAGGAGGGATAAAATAAAATGGGAAGGACAAAAGCTAAAATAATTGCTTAATTATTTTAAATAATTAAATAAAATGATTGAATTGTCCTGCAGCAAGTTCTCCCATGGCAGGTTGGCCACAGTGAGTTGGCTGTAGCAACAGCAATAGCCCTTAGACTTATCTACCGCTTTGTAGTTCTTTACAGCCCTCTCTAAGTCAGCCTGCTGGCCCCCAACAGTCCTCATTTTACCGACCTCGGAAGGACGGAAGGCTGAGTCAACCGTGAACCGGTCAGGATCGAACTGGTGGCAGTGGGCAGAGTCAGCTTGCGATGCTGCCTTCTAACCACTGCGCCACCACGGCGCTTTACAAGAGAAAGGAAGGAAGGAAGAGAATGAAAGAAAAGGAGAAAGAAAAAGGGAGGGAGGGAGGGAGGGAGGAGAGGAAAGAAGAGGGAGAGAAAAAGAGAAGGGAAATAAGAGGTGGAGGGAGCAGGAGAGAAAGAAAAAAATGGAGAAAAAGAAGGGAAGGAAGGAGAGAGTAGAGGGAAGGAAAGAAAAGAAAGGTAGAAAGAAAAGGGCGCGAAGGAAGGAGAGAGGGAGGGAAGGAGGCAGAGGGAGAGAATAGCAATAGCACTTAAGACCTATATACCGCTTCACAGCGCTTTTACAGCCCCCTCTAAGCAGTTTAGAGAATCAGCCTATTTGCCCCCAACCATCTGGGTCCTCTTTTTACCGACCTCGGAAGGATGGAAGGCCGAGTCAAACTTGAGCCGGTCAGGATCGAACTCCTGGCAGTGGAATGCAAAATTAGCCTGCAATGCTGCATTCTCACCACTGTGCCACCAATGGATGTATGGCAAATTGGCAGCAATGAGTTGGCCGCGGCGAGTTGTCCCATTCCGGAACAGACACAGCACCTCAATCCCCCCCCAAAACAGAGGTGGCCCCCCTCTCACATTGGCTGCCCCCTTGCGGAAGGCCTCCCTGGCTAGGACCCCCGGGCCGTCCACCGTCTTCCCGTCATCCTCGGGGCCCCAGCTGGCGCTGTAGATGTCGATGTGCTGGGGTTGGAGACTCAGCGACTGGGCCTCCACGATGTCGTTCACGTCACCGTCCAGCATCCTCACGCCTGGAGGGAGAAGGAGAAGGAAGCAGGAGACATATTGGGAAGCTGTACTTCGTCTGTGCTGACTTGTTCAAGGAAGGAAGGAAGGAAGGAAGGAGGGAGGGAGTGAGGGAGGGAGGGAGGAAGAGAGGGAGGAATGGTGGGAGGAAGGAAGGAAGGAAGGAAGGAAGGAGGGAGGGAGGAAGGGAGGGAGGGAGGGAGGAATGGNGCTCACGTTTGACTCAGCCTTCCGTCCTTCTGAGGTCAGTAAAATGAGGACCCAAATTGTTGGGGGCAAATAGGCTGACTCTGTCAATCGCTTAGAGAGGGCTGTAAAAGCACTGTGAAGCGGTATATAAGTCTAAGTGCTATTTCTATCATCATCATCCTGCGATGATATCGGTAACACCATCAAACATCCAGATGTGCCTATCCCAGGTCCTTGGTAAGGACTCGATAGGTAGAAAAAATGGCCAGACCCAGCCTGAACATCTGGCTAACTGTGCGATGGTCAATAATAATGATAATAGCAATGATAAAAGGGGAAAGGGAAGGAGATAATAAGAAGGGTAGATAATAATACTGCAGCCACACAATATGGGTTAGCGTACAGGTAATCCTCGACTTAACGACCACAAAAGGACATTTGTTAAGTGAGTTTTGCCCCATTTTTTTCCTTGCCACAGCTTTTAATCACTGCGGTTGATAAGTTAGTAACCTGGTTGTTAAGTCAGTCTGGCTCCCCTCCCGCAGTTGGCTTTGCTTGCGAGAAGGTCACAAAAGGGGATCCCATGACCCCGGGACATGGCAACCGTCATAAGTATGAACCAGTTTCCAAGCGTCTGAATTTTGATCACATGACCACGGGGATGTTGCAATCGGCTACTCTAACTTTTATTTAAAAGGCTTGAAATTCAGAAGAAAGCAGAGAAGAAAGGCAAGAGAGATAGATGTCTCTAAAACTGGCGTTTCTCAACCTTGGCCATTTTTAAGATGGGCGGACTTCAACTCCCAGGATTCCTCCGGCCAGCCATGCATGGCTGGCCGGAGGAATCCTGGGAGTTGAAGTCCGCCCATCTTAAAAATGGCCAAGGTTGAGAAAGGGTGTAAGCAAACCATCCCTTGTGGACTCCAGGCCCAGGAATTCAGATTCTCCCACGCGAATCTGGAATTTTCAATCGGCCAAGAATTTTCCATGCACTTCCAGCGACTTGCTTTGTCCCTGTTGTGATGCACCCCACGGCTCCAGCCTACTCTAAGTCACAAAGAGGCCACATACCCCCAATTCTGGCCCCGTGGGCGATACCGGCTCCGCAGACGTGGTTGTTAGCAGTGGCAGCCACCTCCCCGGCGCAGCGTGTGCCGTGTCTGAAAGAAAGGGGAAAAGAGAGAATAACAGAATCACAGAGTTTGGGGGTCTTCTAGTCCAACCCCCTGCTCAAGCAGGAGACTCATACAGAATCATAGAATGATAGAGTTGGGAGGGAGGGAGGGAGGAAGGAAGGAAGAAGAGGGAGGAAAGGTAGGAATGAGAGAAAGAAAGAATAAAAAATAAAGACAGAAAGAAGGAAAGGAGGAAAAGAAGAAAGGAGAGAGAAAGACAGAAAGAAAGAAAAGAAAGAAAGAAAGAAAGAAAGAAAAAAGAAGGCAGGAAGGAGGGAGAGAAGGGAGAAAGAAAGAAAGGAAGGAGGGAGAGAAGGAAGGAAGGAAGGAAGGAAGGAAGAAAGAAAGGAAGGGAAGGTAGGAAGGAGAGAAAGAAAGAAGGAAAGAAAGAAAGAAAAAGAAAAAGAAAGAAAGAAGAGGAAGGGAAGGTAGGAAGGAAGGAAAGGAAGGAAGGAAGGAGGGAGAGAAGGAAGAAAGGAGAAAGAAAGGAAGGAAGGGAAGGTAGGAAGGAGAGAAAGAAAGAATAAAAAAATAAAGACAGAAAGAAGGAAAGGAGGAAAACAAGAAAGGAGAGAGAAAGACAGAAAGAAAGAAAGAAAGAAAGAGAAAGAAAGAAAGAAAGAAAGAAAGAAAGAAAAAGAAAGAAAGAAAGAAAGGAGAGAGGAAAGGAAGGTAGGAAGGAAAGAAAGAGAAAAAGGAAGGAAGGAGGGAGAGAAGGAAGAAAGAGAAAGAAAGAAAGGAAGGAAAGGTAGGAAGGAAGGAAAGAAAGAAAAAGAAAGAAAGAAAGAAAGAAAGAAAGAAAGAAAAAAAGAAAGAAGGAAGGAAGGAAGGAAGAAAGGACAGAAAGGAAGGGAAGGGAAGTGGACCACACAGAATCCCTCCCAACCTTATTTATTCTGAAAAGTCTCCTAAACCAGGGCAGTCAAACTAAACTCGGACTCCAGACTACGACACTCACAATCCTTGGCCAGCTTTCCCGTGCCGGCCAGGAGAAAAGGGAAGCTCCAGTCTCCAAGAGAGTGGGCAACCACGCAACCCGCCCCTCCCCAACACACCCACCCCTACACACACCCACGCACCCCTACCTGTTCTCATTCCACCGGTTGTATCGGGGCTGAGGGTCCGGGTCGTTGTCATTAAAGTCGTAACTGGCCAGGGGGTCCTGGGGGGAGAGAGAGCAGACGGGCGCCTGGAAGGACGGGCTAGACAGGCCCAGAAGAGGCTTTGGGGGGAGAGTTTTGGGACTTCTGAACTCTGGGAAGAGCAGAAATAAAATGCAGGGGACCAGAGAGGTTTGGGAGCCCTCGTTTTGGGGGGGGGGCTGGGGGTGGTGGTGGGGGAGAGGCCAACGAGAAGAAAGACGGGTGGTTCTACCATGTAGCACTACCCATGAACCTGAGCAACTTGGAAAGCGGGCGGGCTTCAACTGCCAGGGTTGACCCTGCTGCCACCCGGGTGGTGCTGAGGGTGCAGACGAACCTCAACGATTCTCAGAGAGAGCACTAACGACCAGAGGACTGCTAAGGCATATAGATCCTTCTGCTCTCCACCGTTCAGTCAGAACCGGAGAAGCTTCTTGGATGAGAAACGAAACGTTTTCCAGGAAAGAAACAAGGTCCACTTGCCTTTTGAAAGAAAGCGCCCTTGGGACTCCACGGATGGAGCACCTGCAATTTCTGGTGGCAAGCCGTTCCACTGCTTAATTGTTCTCACGGTCAGGAAGTTCCTCCTTAGTTGTGGCTGCCCAGTCTCTTCTTAAAAGCCTCCAGTGAGGGAGCGCCCACAAGTTCTGGTGGCAAGCTGTTCCTCTGGTTAATTGCTCTCGCACTCAGGAAATTTCTCCCTAACTTCAGGTTGCTTCTCTCCTTGATTAGTTTCCAACCGTTGCTTCTTCTCCTGCTTCCGGGTGGTTGGGAGAAGAGGTTGACAACGACCCCCCCCCCATTTGTGGCAGCCCCTCAAATACTGGAAGACAGTTATGATGTCACCTCTAGTCCTTTTCATTAAACGAATCACACAGTTGGAAGGGACCTTGGAGGTCTTCTAGTCCAACCCCCTGCTCAAGCAGGAGACCCTATGCCACTGATGGCGAACCTTTTAGAGCCCCGAGTGCCCAAACTGCAACCCAAAACCCACTTATTTATCACGGGGTGCCAGGTGGGCGTGGCCCACTGGGTGGGCGTGGCTGTGCTCATGACAGACTGGGTGGATGTGGCCAAGGTGGGTCACCCCTCATGTTGCTCCTGGGGAGGGACACCTGTGGGGGCCGGGCAGGGTTGGGGGAGATCCAGGGGGTTTCTCGCAGGTGGGGCGGTGAGCACGATGCTCGTCCATTGTCGCAGGGCAAGACGAGGCAGGGGCCGGGGCGGCTGCTGCCTGACACCGTCGGCCCCCCCGCACACAGAAGCCGGCGAGTGCATGGGGGCCGACAGTGTCCGTCAGCAGCCACAGCCTGCCGGCCCCTCGACCGGTGCGCTCTGGGGCTCTGCAGCCCACCGCCAGCACTTCAGAGAAGCCGCCTCTGAGCTGGACGGACGGCCGACAGCTGGGATGCATCCAGCCACGTGGGAGCTCAGCGAGTTAGCGGGCGGCTGGCTGGAGAGGGACGGTTGCCGTCGCCAGGGCATGGTGCGCGTGCCCACAGAGAGGGCGTGCCATACGTTCGCCACCACTGTGCTAAGGCAGGGCTTTTCAACCAGTGGTACGGGTACCACCTGTGGTACATTGGCACCTGGCAGATGGTATGTGACCATCCTAGAAAAGTGATAGCGGGGGAGAGGAATGAGCTGAACCGGTGGCAGCACCGCACAAGCCTGAGCGAGACACGGCTGGAGCTGCAGGGCTGTCAGGGCTCAGCAGAAGCGCCAGGATCAGCGCCAGGCTCCAGCTGGAACTCAACACTGATCCTGGTGCTTCTGCTGTCCTGAAAAAGCACCAATCAGCTGGAGCTCAGCACTGATCCTGGCGCTTCTGCTGAGCCCAGAAGAAGTGCTGATCAGCTGGAATGTTGCAGCCTCTCCAGGGTCTTGTGATTTACATTCAGATGCGTGGCAACTGATTCATATTTATGACGGTCACAGTGTCCCAGGGTCATGTGACGTGACCAAAACCTGCTGCAACCACCCAGCAGACGGGGGGGGGGATAAAAACCAAACACCCCCCCACCCCACCCCCGCTGCCAATCCTCAACAGAAATGCTCACAACAATGGAAACCTCGGACAGGAGGAAGAGCACCGCTGGGTGGGCAGGCAGGTGTCTTGCTCGGCTGTGGCTTGGGGGGCACTTTTTTCAGTGCCAGTGTAACTTCGAACAGTCACTATGCGAACTATTGTAAGTCGAGGACTACCTGAACTTATCACTTTTTCCCTTTTTTTTTTTTTTTGGTCATCAAGTTTTTGACCCCTTGCTAGGCGACTGGTGGTGCTCGGATGTTGCCATATCCTAAAAGTGGTACCATGGGTAAAAACCGGAGAAGCTTCCTGGAGAAGTAGCGAAACGTCTTGCAGGAAAAAAAAGCAAGAACAATCCAGTTGCCTTTTGAAAGAAAGCGCCTTTGGGACAACCGTGGCCTGGATGAGGGAGAATCTCCGTAGACATTTAAGCTGTGCGCTTTGGGGTGAACCCCCTTCGAATGGAGCGGGAGGACGAACGGATTTCCATCCTCCATCATTCAGTCAGAACCGAAGAAGCTTCTCGGATGAAAAACGAAACGTTTTCCAGGAAAAAAAAACAAAGTCCAGTTGCCTTTTGAAAGAAAGAGCCTTTGGGACTCCAATTTCTGGTGGCAAGCCGTTCCACTGGTTAATTGTTCTCACGGTCAGGAAGTTCCTCCTTAGTTGTGGCTGCCCAGTCTCTTCTTAAAAGCCTCCAGTGAGGGAGCGCCCACAAGTTCTGGTGGCAAGCTGTTCCTCTGGTTAATTGTTCTCGCGGTCAGGAAATTTCTCCCTAACTTCAGGTTGCTTCTCTCCTTGATTAGTTTCCATCCGTTGTTTCTTGTCCTGCTTTCGGGTGGTTGAGAGAAGAGGTTGACAAAGCCCCCCCCCATTTGTGGCAGCCCCTCAAATACTGGAAGACGGCTATGATGTCACCTCTAGTCCTTCTTTTCATTAAATCACAGAGTTGGAGGGGACCTTGGAGGTCTTCTAGTCCAACCCCCCGCTCAAGCAGCAGACCCTATGCCCTTTCAGACAAATGGCTGCCCAGTCTCTTCTTGAAAACCTACAGTGATGGAGCACTGGTGGCAAGTGGTTCCACTGATTAATTACCAGAATAAGAGTTGGAAGGGGCCTTGGAGGTCTTCTAGTCTAGCCCCTACTCAAGCAGGAGACCTTATTACCGTTTCAGACAAACGCTTGTCCAGTCTCTTCTTAAAAGCTCCAGTGATGGAGCACCCACAACTTCTGGTGGCAAGCTGTTCCACTGGTTCATTGTCCTCATTGTCAGGAAATTTCTCCTTAGTTCCAGGTTGCTTCTCTCCTTGGTGAGTTTTCCTCTGTTGCTTCTTGTCCTGCCTTGGGGTACTTTGGAGAATAATTTGACCCCCTCTTTGTGCAGCCGATCTGCAGCCGCTGCGCCCTCTCCTCCCCATCTTAGGCCTGCCAGAACTTGCAATCAGCCTGAAGACCACCCACAGTACTTGGACACATCCCCCCCAGCACACCTGGCGGCCTGCAAGTTGGCCCAAGGTGGCATCGAGTTCATTTCCACACACACACCCCCCGTGGCCTCCCTCCTCCATCTATCTCCACCAGGTGTGCGTGTGTGTGTGGGGGGTGCACTCACGTAGTTTGCCACAAGGTCAGGATGGTTCTTCTCGACCCCGTCGTCCAGAATGCTCACCACTACGCCTAAGCCGGTGTAGCCCTGGCTCCATGCCGTGAGGACGTTGAGGTCTGGGGTGACATCGTTGTTCTGCAACGGAAAAGGGAACGGTTGGGGACGCCAGGCTGCGGGGAGAATTGAGGTTCAAGGAGGGCTTTCTGACCGCGGCAATCCTTTCTTCCTTTTTCTCTCGCCATGTATGTGTATCCTCTCAACGTTGCTAACCTCGGATGCTCTTGCTTTGACAACAGGTGGAAATGCAGCCATTTTCTCTATTGCTTTTAGAGTTAGTTGCTGCTGGGAGGGGGAATGTGGAGGAGAGTCCAGCTAGTCATAACAATAATAACTCAGCCCTGGGAACCCAAGGACATTGGGCCCAGAGCTGATAGCATTTGGGTGGGCTGGAGGGCTGGGGAGAAAGCCTGCGCTTCAAGCTAATTGGGGAATGTGATTTATGGCTGTTTATTGGAGGAGGGAATTGTATTTGTTACTTTGTATCCAGGGGAGGGGAATTTAGTTTTTGGCTTCAACTATGTAGTGCCGATACTTTGTTTAAGGTAAACAACGCCTCGAAGTTCTTTTGAAGAGTTTCATCTATCGCAGTGTTTCTCAACCTTGACCATTTTAAGGCATGTGGACTTCAACTCCCAGAATTCCACAGCCAGCAATGCTGGCTGTGGAATTCTGGGAGTTGAAGTCCACATGCCTTAAAATGGTCAAGGTTGAGAAACACTGATCTATCGGAACCACGACATATCTATCCGAATTAGACTGTGTCGTTTCTCTGGCCCACGTGTGTGTGTGTGTGTGTGTGTGTGTGTGTGTACGCGCGCGCGCGTGCATGTGTGCGTGTATGTGGGTATATGCATAATTTTATTTTATTTATTTATTTTTTGTCATGTCTATGCAGTATATATTGGAGGGGGTTACCCTGGCTCAGGAATTCTGGGAGTTGAAGTCCGCAAGTCATAAAAGAGCCAAGGTTGCCCACCCCTGTCCTAGGACAAGGTCTACATGTACCGGTGTAGCTCAGAGTTGAATTTTAGGGTCCTCTGGTGCTCTCCGACTTTGGCTGTTTGCTTGCAGATGGTTCTTGACCCAGTTAGGGAATGTCGTCGGAGCTAGAAGGGAGGGTGGCTTAAAGAGTGGAGCCGAAGGAGAGGAGGAGGAGGAGGAGGGGGAGGAGGAGGAGGAGGAGGAGACTGTGGGGTCCTTGGTGCTCTCTGAGCCGGGTTGCTTTCTTGCAGATGTTTCATTATCAAGGGCACTGATGATGTTGCCTAGTTGGGTAATGAAATGTCTGCAAGAAAACGACCCGGCTCAGAGACCATCAAGGACCCCACAGTCTCCTCCTCCTCCTCCTCCTCCTCCTCCTCCTCCTCCTCTTCCCGAACCTCACTCCCTTCTAGCACCGAAGATGTTATCTAGTAGTTGGGTAATGAAACATCTGCAAGAAAACCACCCAGAGAGCACCAATGACCCTACAGTCCTCCTCCTCCTCCTCCCTTTCCTTCTCTCCTTCTCCTTCTTCACCTCCTCCTCCCTTTCCTTCTCTCCTCCTTTTCCTCCTTCTCCTTCTCCTCCTTCTTCTCCTCCTCCTCCTCCCTTTCCTTCTCTTCTCCTTCTCCTCCTCCTCCTCCTCCCTTCTCTCCTTCTTCTCCTCCCTTTCCTTCTCTCCTTCTTCTCCTTCTCCTCCTCCCTTTCCTTCTCTCCTTCTCTTTCTCCTTCTTCTCCTTGAAGAGGAGGAAAAGCTCCTCCCTTTCCTTCTCTTCTCCTCCTCCTCCCTTTCCTTCTCTCCTCCTTTTCCTCCTTCTCCTTCTCCTTCTTCTCCTCCTCCTCCTCCCTTTCCTTCTCTTCTCCTTCTCCTCCTCCTCCTCCCTTCTCTCCTTCTTCTCCTCCCTTTCCTTCTCTCCTTCTTCTCCTTCTCCTCCTCCCTTTCCTTCTCTCCTTCTCTTTCTCCTTCTTCTCCTTCTTCTCCTCCTCCTCCTCCTCCCTTTCCTTCTCTTCTCCTCCTCCTCCTCCTCCTCCCTTCTCTCCTTCTTCTCCTCCCTTTCCTTCTCTCCTTCTTCTCCTTCTCCTCCTCCCTTTCCTTCTCTCCTTCTCTTTCTCCTTCTTCTCCTTCTTCTCCTCCTTTTCCTCCTCCCTTTCCTTCTCTTCTCCTCCTCCTCCCTTTCCTTCTCCTCCTCCTCCCTTTCCTTCTCTCCTCCTTCTCCTTCTCCTCCTCCTCCTCCTCCCTTTCCTTCCCTCCTCCTCCTCCTCCTCCCAGACCCCACTCCCTTCTAGCACTGAAGACGTTACCTAGTAGTTGGGTAGTGAAACATCTGCAAGAAAACCACCCAGCTCAGAGAGCACCAACGATCCTACAGTCCTCTTGCTCCTCCTCCTCCTCCCTCCTCCCCACAAACCCCACTTCCTTCTAACACTGATGATATTACCTAGTTTGGTAATAAAACGTCTGCAAGAACACAACCAAACTCAGAGAGCACCAAGGACCACACAAGGTTCTCAAAGGAGCTGGGGGTCCCGTCCTCCCCTTCCTTGTCCCACTCACCATGTACCACTGTTTATGGAACCACGGATCGGTGGGGACAATGGTGGCTGTTCTCTTTGTCCGCCTCTTCAGCACCTGCTGTTCAAACCACGGGATCTAGAGCCAAAACCGCTGAGGTTAAATCAAAGTTAAATCATCTGTTTGTTCAATGGCCCCAAGTTCTTTAGTTTGGGACCGGCAGGGTGGGACCGACAGGTTTCCCATTTCGTTGGGCTCAGATTTCTACCTGTCAGAGTAGCAAAAGCAGACAGGCTGGGATGTCCAGCCACAACTGCAAGTCTATATTTTTTTTTTTCAACATTCTTTCCTTGAGGCCTATCACTACAATTCACAACAGCTGCAAAAAGGGCACAACTCATAAAATCTGGGCCTGTTTAGTCTTTGACTGTGCAGTCCTTTGGCTATCCCCTAAACAGGAAAAATGACTTTCCCTCCCCCCGCCCAACATTGCTCTTGCAAAGTTTTCTTTAACAAGATTTATTGAGGTGGAAAGGATACATGCTGTGGGCCTAAAATAGAATAGAATAGAATGTAATGTAATGTAATGTAATGTAATGGAATGGAATGGAATGGAATGGAATGGAATGGAATGGAATGGAATAGAATAGAATGGGATGGGATGGGATGGGATGGGATGGGATGGAATGGAATGGAATGGAATGGAATGGAATAGAATAGAATAGAATGGAATGGAATGGAATGGAATGGAATAGAATAGAATAGAATAGAATAGAATAGAATAGAATAGAATAGAATAAAATAGATTGGATTGCACAGTTGTTTCTTTTAGGTATTGTGCAAGATTTAGATGCAAAAGAAACAAATTTGATGCTTTATTGTTTAACTGCTGCCCATTTGTTGATAGCCCAAAATTGGAAGAGCCCAATTCTGCCTACAATGGAAGACTGGAGATTGAAAGTTTCGTATCTTGCTGAAATGGCAAAGATTTCGGCTTATCTGAAGAACCACTCGAATGAACAATTTTTATCAATATGGAGAAGATGGATTGTTTATATTCAAAAGAAGCATAGAGTGGTAGAATATAACTTAGGTTTTTAGATTTTTTTTTTGTTTGTTTATTCTTTCTATCTTTTTATGTAGATTAAGATACTTTGTGGAGTTAGAGATATTAGTATTTGTTTACTTATATATGAATATTATCCTGGGATTAGGTTTGGGAAGTCCGGGGGGGGGGGTTACTTGATACTGTGTTTATTATGCTTATGATTGTTTTTTTTATGATGGAAAATAATAACATTTCTTTGGAAAAAAAAAAAGAATAGATTGGATTGGATTGGATTGGAATGGAATGGAATAGAATTAGGAATTAGGAATTAGGAATAGGTATTAGGAATAGGAATAGAATTAGGAATAGGAATAGGAATAGGAATAGGAATAGAATGGAATGGAATAGAATTAGGAATTACGAATTAGGAATAGGTATTAGGAATAGGAATAGGAATAGAATTAGGAATAGGAATAGAATGGAATAGAATAGAATAGAATAGAATAGAATAGAATAGAATAGAATAGAATAGAATAGAATAGGCTTTATTGTCATTGTGTAACTCACAACGAAATTAAGGATCAGCAGCTATGTTATGTTTTGTAAGGTAAAATAAATAATATTCTATTTTATGGGTCTCTGTGCCCACAGCATAGCAACTCAGCTCCAACATTCCTTATCCTGTGATAAGTGATAGACAGATAACCTTTATTGTCATTTTTTATTATGGGCACTATGGCACCCATTAAAAATGAAATTTAGTTGCTTGCTCCCAAAGTGTACACATACACCACACACATTTAAACATATACAACTTACGTATGTAGACCTACATCCTTACATGTAAGTAACACATAAATATTAATCACGCACATAAATATTAATCACTGTTTCTTTACTGGTTAATGGAGCTGCTTGCAGACAGCTGTTGACACAAGCTTTTGAAGCCTACATCACCGTTTCTCAACCTTGGCCACTTAAAGAAGCATGGACTTCAACTCCCAGAATTCCCCAGCCAGGCTTGTTTGTTGAAGTCCACACATCTTTTTTTGTATAGATTTTATTAATTTTTATAGGGTTAGGAATAAGGTAGGGTGGGGTTAGAGTTGGGATTTGGGTTAGGGTTAGGACTAGGGTTGGGTTTTTTCCAAATAACATTCTCAATATTTAGCAAACAGCATAATGTCTGGGTTCATCTGTTTAACAAACAATAAGAGTGAATAGTTAATTATCATAAACAGTATGTTAATTAATCCCTCAATAGCCTTCTTCTTGCTAATACATATTCAAAGTGATATGTCACATTCCTTTCTCTCTAACTCATCTTTCTAGCCATTGATAGAAATTATCCCATGTTCTAAAGTACACTGAGTCTTCTTTCTCTTTTATCTTTAAAGTCCATCTATCCATTTCTGCACACTCTAGAATTTCCTTAATTAGCACTTCTTCAGCTGGTAAGTTTTCATTTTTCCAATGTTGAGCAAAAACAATTCTTGCTGCCGTTAGTACGTGTGGTATTAAATATCTCCAATCTTTCTCATAATTAGCTCCTATTATTCCTAACAAAAACAATTCTGGTTTAAAGTCTATCAAGTCCACACATCTTAAAAGGGCCCTCCGCTGTGCAATCTGTGTGGAAACAAACTCCTTAGAGGTACAAACCCAGCCCAGTGGGGCAACTTGGAAAACTATCTAATTAACAGATGAGCATCCTGTTCATAATTAAATCAGCCCTGCTCTGTTTCTTTGACAGTACAACATAGAACCAGGATGGAGCCGTGAATTTCTGCTGCTAAGTTAACTGAGTTTTGCTCCATTTTACCACCTTGCTTGCCACAGTGGTTAAGGGAATCACTGCAGCTGTTTAAGTTAGTCACATGGTTGTTAAGTAGTAATAATAATAATAATAATAATAATAATAATAATAATAATAATAATAATAATAATAATAATAATAATATTAAAGTGGGAAGGGACCTTGGAGGTCATCAAGTCCAACTCCCTGCTCAGGCAGGAAACCCTATACCATTCCAGACAAATGGCTGTCCAGTCTCTTCTTAAAAACTTCCAGTGTTGGAGCATTCACCGCTTCTGGAGGCAGGTGGTTCCACTGGTTAATTGTTCTAACTGTCAAGAAGTTTCTCCTCAGTTCTAGGTTGCTTCTCTCCTTGTTTAGTTTCCATCAGTTGCTTCTTGTCCTGCCTTCAGGCTCTTTGGAGAATAGCTAGACTCCCTCTTCTTTGGGGCAGCCCCTGAGATACTGGAACACGGCTATCATGTCCCCCCTCGTCCTTCTCTTCGTTAAACTAGACAGACCCAATTCCAGCAACCGTTCCTTTGCTTATCAAAAGGTCACAAAAGGGATCATGGGGACACTGCCACCGTCGTAAGTACATGCCAGTTTCCAAAGTTTGATCATGTGACCCCTGGGGGATGCGGCAAAGGGCGTAACTGTGAAAAAGGGGCCATAAACCACTTTTTTCAGTGCCGTTGTAACTTGGGACGGTCACTAAACCAACTGTTAAAAGGCAAGCACTACCTGTAATTAAGACAGCCCTGCTCTACTTCTTGGAAAACGCCCCGGTGTTTTGCCTCCGATACCCTACAAGTAGGCCGTGAAGGAAATTGACTAGCTTAAGGTGTGTCACCAGCATCCAACCCTTAAGAGGTAGAATGCCTCTGCATCTGAGGGTTCTCTTTGGGTTGCCACACTTGTCAGAAGGAGATAGACCAGGGGTCTTCAAACTTGGCCCTTTTATGACTTGTGGACTTCAACTCCCAGAATTCCTCAGCCAGCTTTGCTGGCTGAGGAATTCTGGGAGTTGAAGTCCACAAGTCATAAAAGGGCCAAGTTTGAAGACCCCTGTGATAGACAAAAGGAAGGGGAGGGGAAAGGGTTGGCAGTGCAGGAGGGGGGGAAACACACACACACACACAAACACACAATGAAAAGAGGAAGAAAACAGATGTGTCACCTGGGGTCGAGTGATATGAGAGACAGGTGAGGTGGGAGGACAGGTAAGGTTACATTTTTTTAAGATTGTGCCAGAGCGGTCAATACTAGCAGAATGGAGGCAATAGGGCAAACTCTGAAGGTGTGAATAGCCAGAGCAATCCAATATGGCCTAAGTCAGGGGTAGGCAACCTTGGCTCTTTTATGACACGTGGACTTCAACTCCCAGAATTCCTCAGCCAGCCGTGCTGAGGGGAAAGGGAGAGGTTTCCAAGCTGAGCCAGGCTGGCTCAGGAATTCTGGGAGTTCAAGTCCACAAGTCATAAAAGAGCCAAGGTTGCCTACCCCTGGTCTAAGTATTATGCAATTGGCGTGGGGGGGGGGGAGTCAGACTAGAGGGCCTTCAGGAGACCCTCTGTCTATGGGCTTACCTGAGGGTCTCTGTTCAGGCGGAGATGCCACCCCCGGTGCTTCGTTAAAGATTTCCGAGCCATGCCCCTGTGTTTCAGATGGAAGTAGGGCTCTCCAGCAATCACCTGCATGCAGAAGGGCAAAGTTTTATCCCAGCTTCGCCACGAAAAGGAGTAACGTAGAGTAGAGTAGGAATGCAGAACAGAACAGAACAGAACAGAACAGAACAGAATAGAATAGAATTCAGAATGAATAGAATAGAATAGAATATAGAATTCAGAATGAGTAGAATAGAATAGAAAAAACAAAAATACAGAATAGAACAGAATAGAATTCAGAATGAATAGAATAGAATATAGAATTCAGAATGAATAGAATAGAATAGAATTCAGAATGAATAGAATAGAATATAGAATTCAGAATGAATAGAATAGAATTCAGAATGAATAGAATAGAATATAGAATTCAGAATGAATAGAATAGAATTCAGAATGAATAGAATAGAATAGAATAGAATATAGAATTCAGAATGAATAGAATAGAATAGATTTCAGAATGAATAGAATAGAATTCAGAATGAATAGAATAGAATAGAAGCTGGAAGGGACCTTGGAGGTCTTCTAGTCCAGCCCCCTGCTGAAACGGAGAGATGGAGGAAGAACTCGGCTAAAACGTGCCTCTAGGATAGCATTTCTCAACCATGGCCACTTTGAGACAGTGGACTTCAATTCCCAGAATTCCCCAGCCAGCAGTGAGTTGAAGTCCACCTAGCTGAAAGTTATGAAGGTGGACAGGTTTTAAAAAATGGCCTAATTCCTGCCAGAAAGGTGTTAACACCTGTGCAAAACTAAAATGGCTTCTCCTCAATCCTCTGCAGTGTGGCTTCCTTCCACCCCACCCCAGGCCTCTAACTGATTCTTTTGGATTTCCAAAGTCCCCTTTCTCTGCAAAATAAGCAAAGAGTCTCCTGGATCATAAGAGGAAAAAAATCACTTGGGATCTGCCTCCTCTTCTTCCTTCTCCCCCCACCCCCTTGGAAACCATCTCTCTCTGGGATCTGCTTTCCCAGGCCTGATTGCATATCTTTCAAAATAGATCCCATCAATCTGATTAAGCAGGAGATGGCCTGGTTTTTAAGGAGGAGGAGGAGGAGGAGAGGGAGCAAATAGTTTAACAGAAATGATGCAAGACCTCTGCATTAAAAGACTCGGTTTCTCACCCTCTGGAAATAGAAAGGAGGGGCAGCATATAAATTTAATAATAATAATAAAATAATAATATAGGACTTGATAGGTGTCTAGTCTGATAGGTGTCCAAATCCAGTCTGAACACCTGGCGGACTGTGCGACAAACCAAAATAAAATAATAAACAACATTTGATGCATTGGTGCCTCACAATATTTTCAGGTTTATCCGTTCAGTAAAAAACCTTCCCTTGCCAGGGGACCCCTAATTTGCTGGGGTCACATTCTCTGCAGAATGTGACCCCACATACATACATACATACATACATACATACATACATACATACATACACCCACCCACAGGCTCCATGCAAGCAAGGAATTCTTGCGTTTGCTTTTTCTGCTGGTTGCAAGACGGGTTGGGGGTCTCCATGTCCCATCCTGGGGTCCCGCGCTTCAGAAAAGCCCCCTGGCACCTGCCCCCAACTCAGAAACAACCCCCACGAAGGCTGGAAACGGGGCTACAGCCCCCTCCCCCACGTACCATTTCCCCCTTCTCTCAAAAGATTAAATTTAAATTAAAGCTCCCCCCAATAGAACAAAAAAGCTTTCATAACTGAAGGTGTGACCCTTTTTTTGGGGGGGGGGGAGGGAAACCACAGAGAGAATGAAGAGTCCACCAGAGCTTCCTAAGTGGAGCCTCCATGTTCAGGAGCAGTCTACCTTGGAGTGCTGGCGCACGGGTGGGGGGTGTCCAAAGGGTGGGGGGGCGCTGGGGGAGGCCTGATAATGTCCGTCTGGCTCTATAATACGAACCCAGGACCTTTTGGGGTGCCTAAGAAAAGCCTCCCCCCCCTTCCCCCAAACAAGCCATGTTCCTTTGATGGAGCCTCCAAGAGCAGGGGCAGTCTACCCACTGACATAGAAAAGGTTAGGCAAGGTGAGGGGTGGGTGGGTGGGAAAGGCTGGGGAGTTGCTGGTTTTTTTCTGCAAAGGCACTCTACGTATGCTCAGAGGCTATCTCGCAGCCCTCAAGCAGGCCCTTGCCAGCCCTTCCCAGGGCCAGGAAGGGCGACGCACCTGGCCCAGGTAGAGCAGCCCGTGCCTGCGGGCCAGGCGCTGGGCCTCTGGGGCGCCGCTAGGGACGCGCACGGCCCAGCTGCTCAGGTAGATGCTCGCGGCGCTGGAGGCTCCACCGCAGAGCAAGAGCAGCAGCAGCATCCAGACGCCCATTTCTGCTCCCCGCATGTCTTCCCCCCGCTCAAGAGCCACGGGCCGGGCCGGCGGGAGAGCCCGGCCCCTTATACATCAACGCGGCCTAGGGCCCCTTCGAAGCCTGGGCCTCGATTTGCACACCAGCGCCGCCTTCGGGAGACCCGGAGCGGCCGGGCGCGCTCCATGTGTTCGGAGGCGCCTGGTTGCCATGGCGACGGGAAGCCAAGGCCGGAGATTGGGGATTATCGGGCCGGGTGGCGCTGCGGGAAAACGAGCAGAGGGGAGGGGGGGAAAGGAGGGTTGGCCGCAAGGGCTCCTGGGAGTTGTGGTTTCTGCTGAAAGATGCCTCTGTTATAGAGCCAGGCTTAATTAACAAGGGATTATCTTAATTTTTTTCCTGTTATCCACTAAAAGCCCAAGGGTTCTAACAAGGTAAGGCCATGCCCAGTTTATCACCATTTCTGTGAGACCTAATAGACTTTCATTGTAATGGACCACCGTCAACCATCTCTCCCTTTATGAGTTGAAGGGGGAGGAGCTCCTTGGATGGGAGACCACGAGGAAATCCCGAAGCTCTAGACTAGGTTAGAAACAACCCCAGAAAAAGCAGAGATAAATTGATTCCAATATTGGGTGTGCCAAAAAACTGTCCATGAAGTTGTTTGGAAGGTGGCTCAAGATCCCAAAACAAACAAACTCACTTGGAATTCCAGCGACAAAGTTTTATTTAAAAAGAAGCATTTGCAAAGGCTTGGGTGAGCTGAAACACAGGTAGGAGTCCAGCCACACCTTCAAGAGCTGTTTCACACATTTCTATATCCTACCCCCTCCACACACACACACATGCAGATTCCCCCCCTCCCCTATCGCACTCAACACCCCTTTCCGAATCATCCGATAAACTATCCGGACCGCCTAAAACCACTGTCCCTCCCATGTTCCACGAAGCCCCTTTGTGCACATCCTATCTATCACCATCTAATTTTCTATTAGCAAAGCTCAATTCTTATAATCATCTCTATATTTGTTTGCAGTTATACCTTAAGCTCTAAACTTCACCCTACTTGCAGTTTCAGTTAGCTAGCAACTTCTGTTTTTCTTATTTGTATATAGTTAACTTGTTTGAGTTTATGACTTTCAGGTGACTTCTCCTACAGACCTTTAGATTCATTAGAAATTTCTGATTAATAATCTCTGTTCCTTTCAAAGTGACCAGGAAACACATGAATTCGGTTGGAAACAGATTTTACAGTTTATTCCCCACGTGTAAAGTAGCACAGAGTTTTCTAGATAAATCTAGGTTGTTCAGATTGGAGATAACTTAAAATACATTAAAAAAAAAACTACCCAGTTTTCTATTTTAAAAAAAAAAAGTGGTGTGCTGTTCTAAAACCAACGAACCCTTGACCATATGCAGAATGTGGAAGAATAAACCTTAAAGCCACAAAGCAGAGCTTTAAGGATAGAGAAACCGATAAGAAGGCAAATTAAATGTATCTCGCAACGTTAATTTCAAGAGGAAATATATATATATATAATAATAATAATAATAATAATAATAATAATAATAATAATAATAATAATAATAATAATAATAATAAAGTTGGAAGGGACCTTGGAGGTCATCTAGTCCAACCCCCTGCTCAGGCAGGAAACCCTATACCATTTCGGACAAATGACTGTCCAGTTTCTTCTTAAAAACTTCCAGTGTTGGAGCATTCACCGCTTCTGGAGGCAGGTTGTTCCACTGGTTAATTGTTCTAACTGTCAGGAAGTTTCTCCTTATATTCTAGGTTGCTTCTCTCCTTGATTAGTTTCCATCCGTTGCTTCTTGTCTTTGACCTCAGGTGCCTTGGAAAATAGCTTGACTCCCTCTTCTTTGGGGCAGCCCCTGAGATATTGGAATGCTGCTAGCATGTCCCCCCTCGTCCTTCTCTTCATTAAACGAGACAGACCCAATTCCAGCAACCGTTCCTTATATGTTTTTAGCATATATATAGTTATATATATATGGATTTTTCAAGTTAGAAATTGATCTCCCAGCCTCTGCCCTTAAACCAGCATACAAAGAGTTAATTTGCAAGGCTTGTTTTCTTAAGCTTCAGAGAAACCAGGTGATCTGTGGCAATTGGGTTCCAAGGAGCAGAATGCCAACTATTCTGGGAGGCCCCATTATAGGTAAGAGATCCTAAATGCAGATGGAAGGCTTGGCTTACTTCCTTGAGGGCGCTGCAGAGTTCGTGGCTTGGAACAAGGCCCACTGCTCACCAGAAAATAGTGTGCTCTTGCCTCTAAAAAAAACTGCCCGTGCACACCTATGTATTCATTGTAGAGGATTTTTACGCAACTCTGTTGGGAAAGGTGAAACTCTGAAAAACCACATCAAGATGCACCTCCGCCTTCAATCCCATCTGCTGAGAGAGAGGCGTATGTGTAAGCCGTAACTTGCAAACTCGCGGTGACATTAAGCTTTTTTAAAATCCAATTAACTTGAAAAATCAGAAACCCCTTTTCCAATTGATGAGTTGCAGCAAAGAGGTAATAGGGCAAAAGGCCTTCTGGTTTTTTTTAAAATAATGTTTGAGTGCTGGGGGGGGGGAAATTATTTTTTTTGTTTCTGTTTTGTTTTTATTTATTTTGTATTTTTAAAAAACTTTTCAACCTATTTGTCCAGCTCAAATCACATCCTGACCTAATAAGAGAATATCATAATAACAGAGTTGGAAGGGACCTTGGAGGTCATCTAGCCCAACCCCCTGCTCAAGCAGGAAACCCTATACCATTTCAGACAAATGGTTGTCCAATCTTTTCTTTAAAACTTCCAGTGTTGAAGCATTCACAGCTTCTGGAGGCAGGTTGTTCCACTCATTAATTGTTCTAACTGTCAGGACATTTCTCCTTATTTCTAGATTGCTTCTCTCTTTGGTTAGTTTTACATCCATTGCTTCTTGTCCTGCCTTCAGACACTTTGGAAAATAGCTTGACTCCCTCTTCTTTGGGGCAGCCCCTGAGATATTGGAACACGGCTATCCTGTCCCCCCTTGTCCTTCTCTTTGTTAAACTAGACATACCCAATTCCAGCAACCGTTCCTTATATGTTTTAGCCTCCAGTCCCCTAAACATTGTTGTTGCTCTTCTCTGCACTCTTTCTAGAGTCTCAGCAACTTTTTTACATTGTGGTGACCAAAATTGGATGCAGTATTCCAAGTGTGGCCTTACCAAGGCCTTGTAAAGTGGTATTAATACTTCACGTGATCTTGATTCTATCCCTCTGTTAATGCAGCCCAGCACTGTGTTGTTTTTTGGCAGCTGCAGCTTAGAGCCTGGATTTACATGACACACATGGGGAAAAAACTGAGACAATTGGGTTGTTCAACAATAGAAGAGAATAGAATTCTTTATTGGCCAACTGTGATTGGACACACAAGGAATTTGTCACCGGTGCATAAGCTCTCATTGTACATACAAGCAATAGGGATAAATCATAATCACAATCAATATAAAGAATACATTCATCGTCAATAATAAGATATAACGGCAGCCAGATTACTGGCTCCAATCCTATAATGCAGGGGTCTTCAAACTTGGCTCTTTTATGACTTGTGGACTTCAGCTCCCAGAATTCCTCAGTGCCTGGCTGAGGAATTCTGGGAGTTGAAGTCCACAAGTCATAAAAGGGCCAAGTTTGAAGGCCCCTGCTATAATGCCATCAATTTATTCTATTCGAAAATAATTCCAGCTGAGTTTAGTGGTTCTGCCTAACTATCCTGGTTATTGACAGCTGTAGGCTGTTTTAACCTTGATGTTTAGAAGAGGTTGTTTTTTTTTAGGGGGGAGTTACTCTTAAATTCATAAGCACCAGGTGATGTCCAGTTTCAACAATCTGTTGCTGAGCATTTGATGCTCACAAACAGGCCCCAAAGAATTTGAGGAGACTTGCAGTCAAGGCAAGGAGAATTGTCAAAAAAGACAATTCAGTAATGCATCAAGAAGGATCCAACTTTTTAACAATGGAGTAAGTCTCCATTCACGTGTTCCTTCAGCACTAATTTGTTGCTTTTGATAACATCCAAGGAGAAGCTTTTTTTTTTTTAACCGAGTCCCAAAATTCAGTTGCTAAGTGAGGCAGTTGTGAATCTTGCTCCATATTGTGACCTTTCACGACCACAGATACGAAGTGAAAATCACTGCTTCCCCATTGACTTTGCTGGTCGCAAAAGGGGATCGCGTGATCCCGGGACACTGGGACCGTCATAAATATGAACCAGTTGCCAAGCATCACGGGATACCAAAATTCAGACGCTTGGCAGCTGGTTCCTATTTTTATGACTGTCGCTGTGTCCCAAAGTCACGTGATCCCCTTTTGCGACAGTCTGAAAAGCAAGGTCCATGGAGGGAAAAAAAAAGATGTTGAGACCCTAGAAAGAGTACAGAGAAGAGCAACGAAGATGATCAGGGGACTGGAGGCTAAAACATATAAGGAAAGGTTGCTGGAATTGGGGATGTCTAGTTCAGGGGTAGGCAACCTGGGCTCTTTTATGACTCGTGGACTTCAACTCCCAGAATTCCCCAGCCAGCAGGATAGGCTAGTCCAGGGGTAGGCAACCTTGGGCCCCTCATGACTCGTGGACTTCAGCTCCCAGAATTCCCCAGCCAACATGGCTCAACTTGGAAACCTCTCTCTTTCCCCTCAGCATGGCTGCCTCAGGAATTCTGGGAGTTGAAGTCCACGAGTCATAAAAGAGCCACGGTTGCCCACCCCGGTCTAGTTTAATGAAGAGAAGGACGAGGGGGGACATGATAGCAGCCTTCCGATATCTCAGGGCTGCCCCAAAGAAGAGGGAGTCAAGCTCTTCTCCAAAGCCCCTGAAGGCAGGACAAGAAGCAACGCATGGAAACTAATCAAGGAGAGAAGCTACCTGGAATTAAGGGAGAAACCTCATGACAGTGAGGACAATTAACCAGTGGAACAGCTTGCCACTAGAAGCTGTGAATGCTCCAACACTGGAAGTTTTTAAGAAGAGAGTGGACAGGGTTTCCTGCCTGAGCAGGGGGTTGGACTAGATGACCTCCAAGGGACCTTCCAACTTTATTATTATTATTATTATTATTATTATTATTATTATTATTATTATTATTATTATTATTATTATTATTATTATTATTGTGGATCATCGCACAGTCAGGCAGATGTTCAGACTGGATTTGGCATTTTGTCCACCTATCGAGTCCTTCCCAAGGACCTGGGATAGGCAGATGTGGATGTTTGATGGTATTACAGATCTCGTCGCAGGATGGAAGCAGTTCCTAGTAAGGCCGCCTTTTGCAATTGACTAATAGCGAATTTGTCAATGCCGATGGTGTTCAAGTGGTGCTCCAGTTGTTTTGGGATTATTATTATTATTATTATTATTATTATTATTATTATTATTATTATTATTATTATTATTATTATTATTACTACTACTACTACTAGTACTATTATTATTACTATTATTATTATTATTATGCCAGATTCACTTAAGGACTGTGTTACTAAACAACCTCAGTGGTTCACTTAATTATGGCAAGAAAGGGGGTAAAATGGGGCAAAAGTCACTTGACAAACGTGGTGGGCGTAAGTCGAGGATGACCGGGACCCTGCGGGCTAAATCTCGGCTCCCAACCTTGAGCTTATCCACGTGGCTTAAAACCCTTGCACTCCCCCCCCGCCCTTCAGCCCCGCGGGCCACCTGTCCTCCCCGCTCCCGATTGGCTGCGCCGGCTGGAGGCGGGCCCCACCTGGCGAGAGCTCCGCCCATCGCTCGGGGGGGGGGGGGCTGATCGGCCGCCCAGCAGGTGCGCGGCCGGGCGTCGGCGTCGCTCGGATCCTGGGCCGCCATGGGGACCCCCCGGTGCCGCTTCGAAGCCTTCCTGGACCAGCCCGGCTGGCTGGGCGACGCGCTGGGGGCGCTGGAAGCCAAGACCGGCCTCCGGAGGTCTTACCTGGCCACAGGTGAGCGGCGGGGGCGGCGGCAGCGCTCCTTCCCGGCCCCGCCCGCTGGAGGGGGGAGGGAAACTACATGGGGAGGGGGCTGCCTGGCCTCATGGAGGATAGCGGAGCCCCTCTTCTCTAAGTGGGGAGGGGGAGGGAAACTGCCTGGGGAGGGGGCTGTCTGGCCCCAAGGAGGGTAGAGGAACCCCCTTCTCTAAGTGGGGAGGGGCTGCCTGGCCCCAAGGAGGGTAGCGGAACCCCCTTCTCTAAGTGGGGAGGGGGAGGGAAACTGCCTGGGGAGGGGGCTGCCTGGCCCCAAGGAGGGTAGAGGAACCCCCTTCTCTAAATGGGGACGGGGAGGAAACGGCTGGGGAGGGGGCTTCCTGGCCCCAAGGAGGGTAGCGGAACCCCCTTAAGTGGGGAGGGGCTGCCTGGCCCCAAGGAGGGTAGCGGAACCCCCTTCTCTAAGTGGGGAGGGGCAGCCTGGCCCCAAGGAGTGTAGGGGAGGGGGAGGGAAACTGCCTGGGGAGGGGGCTTCCTGGCCCCATGGAGGATAGCGGAGCCCCTCTTCTCTAAGTGGGGAGGGGGAGGGAAACTGCCTGGGGAGGGGGCTTCCTGGCCCCAAGGAGGGTAGCGGAGCCCCCCTTCTCTAAGTGGGGAGGGGGCTTTTCTGGATATATGGCGATCCCGGATCGGTTCTCGTTTTGCTACGCGCTGCGCCGACTCCGCGAGCAGCAACGGATTTGCGGGCTCCGACCGCGGAGGGAAGCGGCTGCGGGGCTGCCCCTACGACCCTCCCCCCGCCCCGCCTCGTCGCCAATGGTCGCTTTGCCCTCCGATGGCCTGGAAACCAAGGCCTCTGAGCATGTGCTTGAGTGCCTTCTTCTTCTTGCAAGTGGGCTTTCCCTTAGAATAGAATAGCGCTGGAAGGGACCTCGGAGGTCTTCTAGTCCAGCCCCCTTGCTCAAGCAGGAGAACCTGTCCTATCCCATTTCAGATAAGTGGGCTTGCAGTGGGCTTGTTTCAACGGGCATTGATCTGTCTTTTGGGGGGAGGGGCAACAGGTATCTACCCCCCCCCCCTTTTCCTTCTAGTGGGGAGGGGGTCTTCTTAGATCATTAATCCCCATGCTTGTTTTATTTTAAATTACGGGCGTCTGTTCCATCCGGCTCTGAAAGCTGCTTGTGTGGGCAGGTAATGTGATAAAAACATAATACCGTGGAAAAGAGAAATTGATCTTTTAAACACTCAAAGTGAACAATTGGTTAAATTGAAAAAAAAAGGAATTAGTTGTAATTTGAAATGTTAAAAAATTGGCTTGGCTTCCCTCACTCTACTGCTGCTGTGTGTATCTCTGTGTGTGTCTGTCTGTCTTCCACCTGGAGTTTTGTATTTGGGGCACTCCGACATGGTCTTCAGTCTCTCCCCTGTCCTCCCCCGGAAAGGGGTCTCGTTTCTGGGCCCCCTTCTTCAGGGGTTTAGTTGTGGGGGGCTCTTTTGGGGGGGAGGAATCCTGACCCCACATGGATCAGGTTTTGTGGCCAGCAGGTGTGGAGAAAACCGAGGCAGGGAGAGAACCTGGTTATCAACTGTATCAAGGAGTAACCCTGATAAAGTACAAGTAATCTTATTCGCTTAGTGACCGTCCCAAGTTACAACGGCTGTCATGGTTCCGACAGATGAAACTCTTGAAAAGAACTTCGAGGTATTGTTTACCTTAAAGAATCTTTATTTTGAGTAGCATAACTTCGGCACTGCATAATCGAAGCCAAAAACTGAATTCCCCTCCCCTGAGCATATACTACTACTACTAATAATAATAATAATAAAGTTGGAAGGGACCTTGGAGGTCATCGAGTCCAACCCCCTGCTCAGGCAGGAAACCCTACACCATTTCGGACAAATGGCTGTCCAGTCTCTTCTTAAAGACTTCCAGTGTTGGAGCATTCACCGCTTCTGGAGGCAGGTTGTTCCACTGGTTAATTGTTCTGTCAGCAAGTTTCTCCTTAGTTCTAGGTTGCTTCTCTCCTTGGTTAGTTTCCATCCGTTGTTTCTTGTTCAGGCGCTTTGGAGAATAGCTTGACACTCCCTCTTCTTTTGAGCAGCCCCTCAGATACTGGAAGACTGCTATCCTGTCCCCCCTTGTCCTTCTCTTCATTAAACTAGACATCCCCAATTCCAGCAACCATTCCTTATATGCTTTAGCCTCCAGTCCCCTAATCATCTTTGTAATCATCTTAATATCAAAGCACAATTCCCTCCTTCAATTAACAGTCATAAATCACATTCCCCAATTAGCTTAAAGCACAGGGTTCTCCAGCCCGTCAATTCCTTATCAACTCTGGTTATAATAACCTTGATTCTCACGCTGAGTTTAGTGTTGTTATGTCTAGCTGAACTCTAGTTCACATCCCCCCTCCCAGCATCATCTAATTCAGTGGTTCTCAACCTTTTTAATGCCGCGACCCCAACCGGTCGTAAGTCGAGGACTAAACTGGTCGTAAGTCGAGGACTTTCCCTGCCCGGGAGCGCCGCGCATGCGTGGTTCCGCCCCTTGCGCCGGCTGAGGCGTAGCTGGCAAGCGGCAGAGACGGAGCAGACCAACCACCAGCTGGCCCAGCCCAAGGGAAGTAAGGCACCCGCCAGAAAAGGGGAATAAAATGGCGGACAAAAAAAATGGCGGACAAAAAAAAATGGCGGTCAGCCTTGCTTGGCGACCCCCATGAAATGGTCGATTGACCCCAAATGGGGTCCCGACCCACAGGTTGAGAACCACTGATCTAATTCTAAAAGGGAAAGGGAAAAGATGGCTACATTTCCCTTTGTTGTCAATGCAAAACATCCCATCTTAGCAGCGTTGACAATGGCACTGAAAAAAGTGACTTGGGACCCTTTTTCACACTTAGGACCATTGCAGCCTCTCTGTGGTCAGCTGACGTGTGTTGTGTATGTGTACACTTTGAGAGGAAGCAACTAAATTTCATTTTTAATGTGTGCCGTTGTGCCCACAGGAAAAAAAATGACAATAAAGGTTATCCAATCTATCTAATCTGATCAAAATTCAGCCGCTTGGCAACTGACTCGTATTTATGATGGTCGCAGTGTCTCTCCGAGGGTGGGGGGGTGGGGGTGTCATGGGATCCTCTTTTGCGACCTTCTGACAAGCAATGTCAACGGGGACTACGGATTCGCTCAACAAACCGTGTGACTAACTTCACAAATGCAATGACTCGCTTAATGACAGTGGCAAGAGAAGTCGTAAAACGGGGCAAAACTCACTGAACAGATGTTTCTCTTCGCGAAACATAAATTTGGGGCTTCGTTGTGGTTGCAGCCCAAAGACTGCCTGTGTCCACAAACCTTATTTAATTGAAATGACAGCCATAGTGGGGAGGTGCTTGGGAGATATACAAGTGCTCACCTCTGCCTCTCTCCAGGAGGAATTTTAAAGGTTTTTCAAGATGGGTGAGGACCCCAGCCTCAATTGTGGTTGGCGGGGTTAAAAATGTGATCCCCGGGTATATCCATGTTCAAAGTCAGTCAATAGACGTGAGCACCAGGGAATAAATAATTTAATAATAATAATTTAGAGATAAAAGTTCTTAAGAATATTAAAAACCTTTAAAATACATAGAAATCAATAAAAGTGCCTAGCTTTCGTCGGCATCCGCTGACATCTTCAGGGCTTAGAATGCTGG